GGTAGCCCATTTAGCTAGTCCATTGGGGTAGTCCATGGACTGGGGGTCAGTGTTTGTCCATCACCTTTGGGAATAACATGTTCGAAAGCATAGTTATTCCAAACAGCAGAAAGTTGCATAAATTTGTTTGGAATTTAGAACAAGCACCTTGACCCACAACAACACAGAATAATTTTGTAAACCACAATGAGCTTAAAGAAAAATATAAAGAAGTTGCTTATTTAGGAAATATATGGTACAGATTTTCCTGTAAGTTGCCTTAAGTAAACTTTAACTTTTAGGGCTTGCTTGATCAGGCCTTAACAAAAAAAAAAAAAAATCATCATAATGTGTAGCATATGAAAAAGCAATCTTAATTTTTGTAAATTGCAAGGCTTGAGATAATCGCTTGTAACTTTGATAATTCGTGTTTGATCACCACAAAATTTGATCCAAGAGTCTCAAACATTTAAGAAATTGCTCAATGCCTTAATTCTTGTAAAACTGCACTTTAAAATGATAGAGCAACTCTCAGCCTAATACAATGTAAATACATGTACATGTACCCAAAGGCCACAATAAATTTGAAAATCGAAAATCTAAAAATTTGTTCCAAACAAAATAATATACTGATTGAAAAGCTAGTAACAAGTAATATAGCACTGTACACCTCTTTGCAGTATCTTCTTTATGAGCCATCAAGTCTGCGAGGTCACTGGTCATTTCCTTCTGGCTGCTGTGACACACTGTTACTGCACCTTTTCTGAAGAGTGTGCTGTGGATTGGTCCTGCAATTCCAGCCTTTTTCCAAACGGACTGAATAGCTTTGCTAATTTGGCCTGATTCCAATTTCTTTCCATTCCAAGATGGGAACAATGGTTGTTCTATCTCTGCTGTAATATATGGCAGCTTTGATCTCACTTGTTTTATAAAGATACTGATCCAGTTTTGCAGATTGCTAGTAAGAATGACTTGCGCTGGGCCGTGGACATGAAATGTTTTATGTTTCATAACATTCATGATGAATCTGTCATCTTCTTTGTAACCGCGTTCAAATTCTTTCACAGTCATGTTTGACAGCACTCCTGCCCGGTTTGCATTGTCGATCGAAATTTGCACGAGAAGAAAAAGTCCCTCAGAAGAGTATAGTGACTTTGGGTGATCTCAATACTGTGTGCTCCACTCAATTTTCCCAGCAAAATGACAGCATCCCTGCCAGTCTGACTTCTTTCAAACTGCTGGATTTTTTCAGGTGTAACAAGTTCAACCCTGTCTTCTTCCATCTTTTCCCACTTTCTTTTCTGGCTAGATCTCTTGTAGGAAGAAGACCATCTCTTTACCTTTTCTATCATCTGAGTAACCAGCTCGGTTGTGGCATCAATTACTGGCTTTTCTGCTAAAACATAGCTGTAGAAATGACGCAGGCTCATGAAGTACGATTTGATTGTTTGAGGGACGTACTTCTGTTCCGCATACTTTACGAATTTGTCATTCAGTAGGGAGCAATCGAAAAGCGACATTACCCTTCTTTCAGCATCAATCAGAGATAAAATGTTTTTTATCTGTGACACATGTTGTTTTGCTGTTTTCTCATCTTTTTTACCTCCATCCGGCGATTGTAACCAATTGGCAAGCGTGACTAACACTTCAGGGTCAGGACTCTTGCTGCTATCCACATCATCTTCAATTAAAATCACATCACATGTGGTTGAAGTCTCAGTTTGTTCAAAATCTTCCAAGTCCATTTCTTCATCTTCATCATTTCTCACAGTATCCACTACAGGTATATCAGGCATAGGTGGTTCAGTTTCAATTCTCTTGATAGCAGCAGCTCTCTTTTCAATCATCTGAACTGAATAGGGCCTTTTGGGTTGTGGAAGAGCTTTACTTAACAAGGCCTTGTACTTTGATGACTTTGGACTGAAACCATGAACAGTTTGCAAATGTGCAGGTAACCTTTTGACCACTGCAGAACACCCTACCATTGGACAACATCTCTTTTTGTGGTAATCCTTGTTGCACCTCTTTTGCCCATGCTCATCAGCATTTGTTTTCCCTTTCCTATTGCCAGCAGCTGCACTCTCTGCAGTTGAAAAGGAATATTTCTTACGTAAATTAAACCGCAATACTGCAGCACGAGCTTGATGTTTTGGCCAATCATGCACTTTTTGCAAATGCCTTGGCAGATGAACAACAATCTTATGACAGTAGGGTACTGGGCATTCTTTTTTAATCCTCGCTTTGCTTGGACGCTTTCTCTTTTTTAGACTGGTCTGATTTGTTCACATTGGTATTGGCTGATTCCTCTTCCACAATTTCTTCATCTGAATCACCTCGCACCATTTCATGACCTGAAGATTTATCACTACTTTCATCACTACTTGACTCCTCATCCTGGTCTGGATTATACTCTGATTCATCTCCGTCCTCTTCGCAAGACATGTCATGTGTCCACGACTTCCTCAAAGCAACAGCTTTTTGGGATAACTAAAATAGTAATCACATATTAAAACCCACTATT